GGGTGTGGCCTTATGACACACTTCCGGTGATGTCAGGGGGTGTGGCATATTCTAATGAGTTATGCTAATGAGTTCCCCTAGCTCTTTTTCTACAAAACGACCCCTGCTCTTATGGTCTGATGATGGAAAGTGCCATCAAGGCACACCTTACTTACAATGACCCCAGGATGGGGTTTTTCAAGGCAAGAGATAGACAGGTGGTTTGCCATGGCCTTCCTCTGCATAGCAGAGCCTTGGTCTTTTTTGGTGGTCTCCCATCTAAGTACTAACCAGGGCTGACCTTGCTTAGCTTCCAAATGTGATAAGATGGGGCCAGCCTGGCCCATCCAAGTCAGGGCCCTCTTAAATGATCTATCCATCCTGTGCTTGCATCCACAGAATGTCAGCATCCCTAGTTTTTTAAAAAGGGTCTGACCTATGATCTGGTTTAGCATAAACCAGTTTGATGCATATTTTTGAAATGTTTGGCAAACACCATCCACTGCCTGACATGTTAAGAGAGCCACAGGCAGTTTAAGGAGACAACATTGGACTACACGGACCAATGTTCTGTCAGAGCAGAAGGCATCTTCAAATAGTTTAGCTGCACGGTTTCTCTTTCCCACAGGGGGGAAAAATGATCTGGAAGATACTAGGAATGCACTTTAGAACATCAGAGAAGACGAGTCGCCAGGAGAAAACAACTGTCCCTTTTCACTTTTGGGATTCCCAGATACAGAATTCCTCCCCCCAAGACCTGAGAAAGAAACTTGATTAAATCTTGCCTGCAAGATGGGGAAGCTGTCAAGCACTTGGTGGGCGACAGACAACGTGGAGGACAGGTCTATCAGTGGCTACTAGGGATGGGCATGAAATGGCTGATGAACGAAAGGTCATCACGAATTTTGGCTGGTTCGCAAACTGAAGAACTACAACAAACTTTCACTAATTTTGATGCAGTTCGTGAAGAGCAGAAAGCAGAGGTTTAAACCTCCTTAAGAAGTGTAGTTCCAGAACAGTGCATAAGAGGGATGATGTTCTGTCGTCTTTTTTTTAAAGATGGTGAGTAGTTTACTGCAGGGTTCTCCCCCACTGCTCCATGTCTGTTTACTGATTTACGTAGATATTGCCTTGAAATGTTGGTTGCTTTGTTTGCAGAAACAGATGACAGGGCTCAAATTAAAAAAAAAAACCAAACCAACTTTATTTCCAATTGGTCAGCAGATAAAATTACACATGGATGTCAAACAATATTTATACAAGGCACACATTTGGTAGCAATCTCATGTTTTAAAATGTCCTAATAATTTATTTCTTGTTTTGCTTCTTGGTTTTAAAACTTTACAATAAGGCCACGATCCAAACTCAGAATTCGGCATGCCACTGGTTTCACCGAACGGGAGAGTGTGGGCTTCCAGGGTAACGTGTTACCTTTTCTGATAGCCTAAATAGCCTTAAGTGGGACTTTCTTAGGTGACCGTAGGCTGCCCCCTTGCAGAAAGAACCCATATAGATATGACCATTTCATCATCTACCAATGTAGCAATTCCACCAGTTGCTTTCCAGTAAATCATTTCTCTCCTTTGCAAGAAAGGGAGTGTGTGGGGAGGGGGGGCGGGTGGTCCAAGCAACTTAACAAATGACTTCTCAACTACCATCCTCCTCTAGCCCACCCAGGACAGCTGTGTGCCATTATCCCCACCCCCTACCCATCTCAAAGCCAGCTGAGCAATTTACAGGGGCCAAGTGAATACTTCGGAGGGGGGCAACGCTTAGCAATTCAGCTTGCCTGGAAACTCTGGTCTCCCACAGGATTATGAACTATTGCCTTAAAAAATTAAACTCTCTAAGGCAGTCCTTTAAATTAAGGTAAAAAGGGGGGGTGAGAAAAATTGTAAAAGTACTCTTACATTATAAAAACAGGTTAAAACAATCATACTTAATTACAAGGATTCGTAAAAGAACATTTACAACAGGTCAAGGAGGTTGGACTTAATACACGCCTCAAGACAGGCCCAGGGCAGAGATCAGACCAAGAAGGACGACGTCTGTTTAAATTCACCCTGGAAAATGATAAAAGAGTTTAAGGAAATTGCAGAGGGACTGCATGAATTCGGAATACTGATGCTGGAGGGATTCTATAGCTCGTTACCCACGAGTTATCCAAAGACCCACCTTTGAGGATGGTGATGTACCACCAAACTACCACTGATGGCTGCTTTGGTCACTGGAGTAAAAACCAGGGCTAACAGTTTTAATACTGAGCATTTCAATATTTTATGTAACCTTTACAACAGCCCCAGAAGGAAGGCCACTCTTATATTGCAGATGAGGGGACGGGGAAGAGAGAGAAAGAGGGGGGGAGGGGTTTGTTTCAGGTTTGCCTAGCAAGCTTTGGCACAGCAATGTTAGGCCATAATGGATCATACGGTAGGTCACATTGCAAAGAGATACTAGCAGTACGACAGCCCCAGAAGGAAGGCCAGTCTTATATTGCAGGATGAGGGGACGGGGCAGAGAGAGAAAGAGAGGGGGGAGGGGCTTGTTTCAGGCTTGCCTAGCAAGCTTTGGCACAGCAACGTTAGGCCATAATAGATCATGTGGTAGGTCACATTGCAAAGAGATACTAGCAACCAATACTCCCTCTAAGCTGTGGAGTCTTGTCAGCAAAAATTCTACTTTGTGAGTTCCTGGCATTAAACTTGTGAGTGAGCGATTTGACTACCACATAAATTAGTTTGCTCTGGAGCCCTCCTTCCTGAGCTAAGACAAAAATGTGTGAGCAGGAGGCTAAAAAACTGTGAGCTAGCTCACACTAACTCAGCTTAGAGGGAACACTGCTGGCAACCCAAGGGTTTGTTTTTTTAAAGGGAGCCTAGTTAACTTACAGGCTCCACTGACAACCCAGAACCCACAACCTAAGATATTTGGCTTATGACTCTAAAACAAAATATGGGCGCAGCTGAAGGCGTATATGTCTAGAACTACGGAATGACCAGAACAATAAAAGATGAGGTAAGAGGGCTGCTGTACGGCAGTGACAAGAGTTGAACTAAGGACTTCCCAGTCTACACTTCAATCTCTCAACCACTAAATTAAGCCAGCAGGTGGGAAGACGAAGTCGGAGACACCCTCGAGAAGTAGGTCCCATCAGTCACTGCCTGCTTGCCAAGATGACAGAACCGCCAGAAGCGGGAGCCAAGCTGCGTCATCGTTCATCCAGGTCTGCGGTTTGCAATATGCCACTTGCCTCAACCTGCCTAGCCCATTACATCACCACCATGGCCCACATCAAAACCAGGGGAAGGAAGCCTCTCTGTGGAAGAGTCGAGCAAAAAAGCTTTGGTGTATCCCTGACTTTCCTTTACTTACATCGCTCCGGCTGGAAGGCTGGCTGTAAATGACCTTCTTGCTGCTGGTGCTAAACAGATGGAAACAGAGGAAGAATTAAAAAGCAGAAGAAGGGGGCGAGGGGGTGGCAAGAGACCACAGCAGAGCTGGCATACCAACTGCTAGATGATCAGACGGTGAAGAAGAAGCCCGCGAGGAAGGTGGCATGGCAGAGGACATTCGCCTTCTCTCGCCCACTTCAGCCACACTCTCCAGTGTCCGGAAGCGAGGTAGGGGAATTCCCCAGAGGCCTTCAGTGCCCTCCCCACCCCCAGTATTGCAGGTATTGCCACAAGTTGGGAGTACATGCTCGGCGTGGGTGGATAAAACAAAACCCAAGTGATTGTGGGGTGGATAGCAGAACTACAAGCATCAGCCAAACAACGGGAGAAACGTCTACTCACTCTCTTCTTTCTGAAAGCAGAAAAAAAAGGAAAGAAAGACGATTATTAGCGAAGGGAGGAGAGCCTTGCCCAAAGTGCTCCACCGAGAATCCACGACTGTGGCCCATGGACACTGCGTGTGATTCTAGTGGGGATTTGAGCCCGCTGGGCCACATGCAGAGATAGGGTGTGGTATACCAGGAATGCTGGAGTTGGACCAAGGAGATCTGGGTTCAGATCTTCCTGCTCCCATCCCCAGCCATCAAGCCCACTGGGCGGAAATACAAAGGTCAGTATTTCAATTTAGCCCACTTGGCAAGAATGTCGCAAGAATAAATGGGGACTCAGGGGCTTCAACTGCAAAGAAGACACATCTCCTGACGTGAGCTGAAAACTGGACCGTGCTTCATTTGAACAGCGCTATGACAGCGACATCTTTCTGCTTCGAAGCCCAAATCAAGAAGCTGACTTTAAACTACATGAACTTAAAAAGATTACTTATTTTTATACAAGCCCAAATGTCCTTTAAGATCAAGTCACAGCCACTCACTACTTGCTGTCCGGGTCTTGCTTAAGATCAGGACAGTGGTAGCTAGGAACAGGGCCTTCGTGGTGGCAGCGGCTCCTAAACCGCTAGAATGACATGCCCCTGGGGTTGTTAGGAAGACCATACCTTTAAAAGAGTCAAGTATAGAAATTCTCTCTTTCAATGCGTATTTTGGGCAATTTTAGAAACCTATGCACCTCTGGTTATGACGTCTATGGTTTTGAGCTTCTTGGGGAAGTCAGTTTAATTTTAAAATATAACATACAAAAGATTGGGGTGGTGGTTGTGCACCATGGATTGGCACTACTAACAGCAGTGCCGAGATGAAGGCACTGCCATTGGCAAAATGCATATGTGGGACTGAACTTGGAAGAGGAACAGGACAAAAAAAACCCCACTTGTTTTTTCCCCAGAACTCTTCCCACAACAGCCCTTGAGAAGGAATCCACAGAACCCTTAACCTCGAAATGGAACTGGCTGCTCAGCTACTTACTACTGAAGAATCCCCGGCTGTAGGCGAACCAGATGCCAAAGGCTGCGAGCCCAAAGACAATCAGAAGCAACACCACAGCTGCCACGATGCCGCCCACGTTGACCTCACCTGCAGACAAAGGAAGATATGGAGAACACTTCTCAAAGGGAGCCCAGCATATTGCGAGAACCTCCCCACTCTACTAAAGCAGTGAAGACCCGAGTTGGGTAAGACCAGGGGGTTTTTTGTAGAAAAAGCCCAACAGGAACTCATTAGCATAATAGGTCACACCCAACAGCAGAAACTCATTAGCATATTAGGCCACACTCCTGACAGCACAGGTCATTAGCATATTAGGCCACAACCCCATGTTACCAGAAATGTGGTCATCCAGCCACACCCACCTTTTGCTCCTTAGAGCATGGAAATGGCGCAGACGACGGTGAAATGGCGGTGACGGAGCCTCTGGCAGCAGAGGCAAGTGGCGATGTGGCGGCCGCAGCACTAACAGAGCGATCCCTGGCAGC